GCAAAACTGTTAGTGTAAAGAAACTAAATAATAGCTCAGAAATTAACACTTAATTATAATAGACCATTATTGGGTTATCTGTGAAAAAAAACGTGTGGGATGTGCATAATCAATTAATTTATTAATTAGGTAGGTGTCACATTTTTATGATTCTAAATTCCACTATAACATTTCAAATGATCTCTGTTACATTTCATTTTACTACTTAATCTCGCATTTATACAGTTAACTTGTATAATGACCAGCAATAATATTTGTATGTATATTATGCTGATGAATAATTAATAATACATTTTATTTGTTTGAAAATTTTCAAATGTCCATACCATACTTGTAACCAACAGAAATGATATGTTAACAAGAGAGCAGCTTAATAATGATTTATTATTTTACGTTTGTGATTTTTTTTAAAATTTTTTATTTTGTAAAACTCAAGAGTTGATAATTATTCTGTCAAGAGCCGCCTCGCTGAATTGGCTCTAATGACTGGCGGATTTAGTTTGTATATTGCGATGATTGTATGAATAATTCAATGTTTCTAGAAAAAAACAATATTACAGAGAAAAAAAACATTTATACAACTGTTTTTTATATTGGGTCAGTACCTCTTGGCAAACAAATCTTTTATAATTTTACTGCGACTAACTCAGAAATCTGGATACTTCGCAAGCTTGCTGGGAGCTTGTCTCCAGCGATTTTTATAGCCTCTAGGGGATCGTAAATAGGTGATAAATAGACAAAGAATAACTCTTCATTCTTTACATAAAATAATAATAATAATTTCCCTTGTGTAAATCCATACCAAAAATTTCACGTGAAACTTTTTCTTTCTATCGTTTTTATGTACGCCGAATGAAAAATGTGTTTTTTGGCAACATTGAATTGAGGTTATTGATGTTAATTTAGGTACCTTAAAAAATGTTTGGTCACCAATAGGATTTGTGCTAATTTTTATGATATGAATAAATCGATTTTGATTACTTATTTCAACTTAATGTTAGTTTAATTTATATTAGCTTAAAATAATTAATATTTAAAACCCTTAAACATAAAATAATACACTCAGCGTACAGCGTATACGTATTTTGGCAACAATGTTGTCTTGTTCAGCGCTAACGACAGACTGAGTATATTAGCTTTATATTATTTACTATTCCATGGGATATAGTTGTTCTATACTCTATGATCTTGACAGTAAAAAAATATACGAGAAAATAACTGACGCTAAAATATAATGCTCAAATATTGATATCTCTTTTTTTTTATAGAAAGAAGAATACACTCTGAATTGGTTTTGATTTGTATTTATTTTCCAAGAATGATAAATAGTTAAACCCTTTTTTTATAGAAATTGATTTGTATAGTATTGTAAGGGCATTATGAAGGGTTAAATTTTAGTTTCAATATTATTGTTATAATTCAGGTTTTCTATACTTACTTAATTCATTAGATTAGGTTTAAAAAGTTATGATTCAATTATGACTACATGCCGCGAAACATTGGCAAGTGTTTTATTTTTATCGTTAATGGTTTGAAATAACACCGTGGAAAAATATGTACTTGCCTGTTAATTATTCTCACCCATCTTACGTTGAAATATAATATTTTTTTTAGCATATTTTTACTTTTATATATCTTGTTTTATATATAGATATTTGTCCAAATTTAGTTTTTAAATTACTTTTTTGTTTCGTTTGTCTTGATTTTAAAACAATATTCATATTTTAGCTAATCAAATAATACAATTCTATAATACCCGCACCGAAGTTGGAGTTAACATAAAGAATTGTGTACATTTGCATGATTTATGTTATGCCCTACAACTTTGATTATTATGAAAAGTTCAAAGTAATATATATTTTGTCAGATGTCCTTTTTAAGTTAAAAGAAAGTCATCTCAGTCGTAATTCATAACCTTTTTTTAAAAAAAATTTTGAAGTGTCTGCTGTTTTGCTTAATTTTATTTACTGCACGTGACAGGGGATACAATACGCTTTTATTTCCGTTTTATTACTTAAAACCAAAAAGTTATAATTAATATAATTATAAAATTAGCGCGATATATATAAATCTTTAAACAATAAAAAGACCTGTATTTTATGCACAACTTTAGAGAACCTTTTTTACTAAATAACAAAATTAAATAATGTTTACTAGGTTTGAAAAAAGTTAGTTAATTAATGTTCTTTGACGGTATCGCTTAATGTCATGCATTTATTTTACTACATGCTATACTGATGATATGGGTAGTGTTGACAATTTAAAAAAAAATTCAGGAATGAGCTTATAATTGGCGATTTAACATTTCTCTTTCATTATATTGATGATATATATATATATATATATATATATATATATATAAATATCATCTATAATGAATACTTAAAAACTAAAAATATGTTTTACTAATTTTATATCAGTGATATTTTTTAGTATTGTTAAAATTAATAGAGTTAGTATAATTGTATAGTTGGATTAGTAGGATCTGCTACTAATGCTACCTTTATTAAAAAATAAGAAACAGAGTTTTTGAAATAGGATCAAAGCAAGACGACTTAATCATAACTTAATTGTGGATAGCTGAGAACAATATATTACGATTAAAATTAATCGTGGCTTTTTTTTTTGAACCTATTCAAACACTATTTTGACGGGCTTTTGTTTTTAGTTTTATTCATGGTAATGATTAATGAGCTTCATTCTCATGCCATACTTGTTTTAATAACTTGACGCTTTTTGCGACTCATATTTCATTAGTTAGGAATTTCTTTAGAATATCATCACCTACTTTTCGTTTAACAGATTATGTTCCATTTCCATAGAAAGTAACGAGCAAGCAAATCGAATTTTCCTCTCGCTAAAGTTGTTAATTTTCATGTTCACTCATTATAGATTTAAGTTTTTTTAGAGATTATTTAGTTTTATTTTTATTAAAAATACATGTAAATATATTTATGTTTTCATCTAGACTAATATTTTAAAATAAAAACTATAGTAATAATTATATTTATTTTAATTAAAGTGTTTTATTTTTAGGCCCGAAGGTGGGTATAACAAATTTTCATAAAAAATGTCAGTTGCCCATTTTTATTACATAAATAAGCCTCGGTGGCCACGTCATTATTATATTTTCAAAGCTAGTTAGCATGTTATAGGGAATTTATATATTTCAAACTAAGACATTCGTCTCAAAGCTATGATGTAAAAATAACTTTATTTATATGTATTCAACATGCTACGTACATGACTCAAAAACTCGAGTTAGATTAAAGTTCCAGGAAAGTTATTCTTTCATGTGATGTGGTAGCATGCTGAACAAAATTTTAATATCACATTTTTCCTCCTACATCCTACTAAAGAGAGATAGATATTCGTTCGACACGTTTTTGTGCCATTGTTATAATATTCCGAATGCGATTTTCCACGTTCAATTTCGTCGTTGCTTATCGTTCTTTCATCCATTACCACTGCTATACAGTACACCCGTTTGCCATACCTCTGAACCCCTTACGCATAGTGTTTTCCAATTCACTTTACCTCGTGGGCTATGGTCTATAAAAGTATCCGTTTTCGGTTTTGCAATTGTACTATTGTACGAGAAAGGGTCGCATGCATAACACAATAAAATATTTTGATTTTATAAGTGATACAGCGAGTGAAAAACCCATATTATAAAAAAAATTCAATTGTGTGTTTGATCCAAGTATACTAACAGTCAACAGAATTAAAATTTAAATAAACAACTCGAAATTGTGTTTAATAAACATGGTTCATGTCCTTTTAACAAAAGATCCTTTGTTTACCACACCTCAAAGAAGAGAACTTCAAATATTATAATCTTATAATAAATATTTAAGTATCAGTTTTTGTTGCTATTATCTTTATAAACATTTTTTTTTAATGAAAAGCAGTCAAATACAATTTCCAAAATAAAAAAAAAAAATAATAAATAATTGATTTTACAAAGATGTTTTTTTATATACTTCGGAATTACTGGATCGACCTATACTCATAGCACATTAATTAGTTATAAATCGTATCTAGTTAATATGTGGGCGAAGAGGGGGCGTGAAGTTTTTAAAGGTAATTCCATCACCTTCAAAAACTGGAAAAGAAAGGTTGCCGGTTTTTCGATTTTTAACTATGGCGCTCTAGGCTATTTAAAACACTGTGAATTGTAATATGTGAAAGAGCCGTCGGATGTTGCACAAGGTTCTTAGTCCGGGTACCCTCTGTTCAGTGAGACATTTTATAGTTGCTTTGCGTCAGAGCTTAGGAACAATCTGACCGTAATCACTAGAAATGTTTAGTTGAAAAGTTTTAAAACGATCCAGTCACTATCAGATTCGTTGCCTATGAACACTAGGCAGCGTTGTAACAGAAACCGATAGAAAAATGACGACGTACAAATTACCTACGTTGTTTCCCCTTACTTCAATTTTTTCTTAGTATTTACATTAATCTCTTTAAATGTGTAATTTTAGTAAAAGCTTTGAGTACACAGCGTATTTAGAACCATATAGTGAATTCAAGATAATTTAACTTTTTCTACTGACGTGTGTCAGACATTAGCTTCCTCACGTTTATTATACCTATAATATAATATATTATATGCTCGAAGTGTAGGAATGAGGATAATAACAATTAGTTAATCAAATAAACTAAAATCCTATATAACTTAATGGGATGTACATATCATTTAAAAATATAGTGATGTGTTTTTTTGATAATAAACAAAAGTATAAGTTTAACAAATCGGAAAGAAGTGACATTAAACAATGTTATACTAACAATTTTAAACAAAACGGTTCGACCACTTACGGTTAGTTGATAACATTTGTTTGTTACACCTGACTGGCGAGTGACCGTGGTATAGACGAGGTTTGGATGTCGAAATTTTTTTTTTGGTGGAATAAAAGCAATTTCGTGTCGATTAATTTTTGACGTTTTAGCGTGTATAGTGTATTTTAAATGGTAATATTGACTTTCGTCATATATAGATGCGTGCTGTCGTCTCGAAGTATAATGACGTGCCTTACAATAATTCATCTGTTACTACAATAATGCTAGTGTAGTTACGGCGTGGAAATAGACTATACGGATGTGTTGTGGTGTACAACTAAGAGTTATATCATCTTAGTCGCGGCCACAGGAAATCCCAATAAAAACAATAACCGCGATTGTTTGTGCATCGATTTTATCATGTTAACGTTAAGTCGCGGCAGAACGTCGGAATGATATTGTCGTCGCCGCTGTCGTCTGTGCGCTGATGGAGTCGCTGGAGCGATGGATGAGGGTAAGCGGTGGCGCTCCGACCCCGAGGAATGGTGAGGTGGTCGCTGCCGGTGCCGCCGTCGGCCAGGCGCCAACGTTGACCGCCGCCGCCTTGCCGCCGCCCGGTGTCGCAGCGCTCGTACGCAAAGGTCGGCGCCATCTGAGCGCCACTTTTTGCCTGTCCGGCGACACCATGGAAGGAATTATTCAGTGCCTCGTCTTCCTCAAGGCCTTCTCGGTATGTCACCCGTGATACATTATAATAATACCTAATATTAATATGGCTTTTTTGCGATGATGAGTTTGTTGTATTATCTAGCATAAGTACGCGGCCGGTAATTTATTTGTTGTTGTTAGCGTAGAATGTACGTCTGCACCTAATTGCTGGTAATAACTAGTTACCGTTAACCTACCCGTGACCGATTAGCGACTGACGACTTAAGAAAATGTGTAAAGTCGTCGTTTTCAAGCTATACAAGGTGGTTGGTAATATTGAGGACGGTAGGTTGGTGGATGTTGCGAATCATTATTAAGATAAGTCCGTGGCGCCCCCGTCTCATAACTTACTATGTTTATTTTTTATTTTATTTCTAATTTAATTGAACCACTTAAAATAAAAACACTTTATTAATTGTTATATTATACGTAGTATAGCGTATTAGAAATAAATAAAAAAGACTTTTATAAATGCGCGGCACGCTCAGATAGTTACAGTTCACCGAGTTTTAAAACAATAATAAAGGTTGCAATTAAAGTGAAAGAGAAAGACTATTATTGTAATTAAAGTACTCTTACTGTATTAAAGTACTAATAACTGTTACTAAGATTATCATGTTTAATTTATTATACAAATAAGGATAAAACGTTTTTTTTTTAGCAATTACTATTACATATAACAATTACTATTGCCTGATTATGTAATTATGTATGTTAGTATGTCAATTATCATTTTAAAACTTAAACATGTAAATTCATTTTTTTATTGATAAAAATTCTGTTCTTGTTGCTAGAAAAAAAAATTGAAAAATCTTTAATGGTCTGTTTTTATGCCATGTGTTTTGTTCTGTTTATTGTTTGTGTAATGCCGTAATAATAATTGCGTTGAAATTGATCGCAATAAATCTCTAAAATCATGTTCATGTGGAAGTCTGTTCATTTTTCATGTGGGAACAACATTTAATAAGGTACCGATTTATTATACAAAAACTTTTATGACAAAAAAGTTTTTCCTGTGCCATATTGAAGTAAAAGTTTCGGGTATAATTTTTCGTTTTTACAGAACTTTTGGTAAATTATTTTACTCCCGCTAGCATTTAAGTTGGTAATTTATCGTTTTAAATATTATATATGTATACTCATATGCATTAAAAAAAAAATAAAACCGTTGCTCATTTTTATTTTATTTTCTTCTAGAATAAATAAAACTATTACTATATAAGTTCATTCGGGATATTATACAACAGCTGTTCCATGTAGTAATACTATCTATACTTGTCTATTTGATGGTGCTTTTGTAATCTAATATTGTTGCATGAATCATTATGCATCATGATATATATTGAAATGAACCCTTTGCATAATAATATAATTTGTCAGTGTTTTAGAGCGGTCCTTGTGTATACACGCAACGTTGATGCTCGAGCGTTGCAAACCTATCGTAAATGAAAAAATAAATAATTCAACTTTAAACGGTTTTGAAATTTTCATTTGAGTGTAAATACCTATAAAGTACAATTTTCAATGGTTTTAAACAATCACTGTTCGGCGGTTATCAACATTTCGTTATAAGTACACTACGAATAAAAGAGTTGCAGTTTAAGGTTATCTTTAAAAAAGTATGTCAGTCAGGCAAAATCATACAGGTCGTATCTCGCTTTATTTTTACCGATTGCAAAGGTTTTTTGTCTCGGTAGTTTTTCCTTTTTGTAATATTTGCCGTCTTTCAAATCGAATTGGCCTCTTGTGGGTTTATCAACAAACAGTGTAATCTACCGTTTTGATGGACGTTGTTTCCCGCCCTCTAACTCGCACGAAAGCCACGGCCAAATGATTGTCAGTAGGGGCGGAAAACGTCCGCGTTAACCGGGAAAGTGGCGCAACTAACTTTGTAAATCTGCTTTTCTGCGACCGTGCTGGCTGTTTTCCATACCATTTTTTCATCTGTTTTTCGGGTCCACAAAGCTTTATTTATGTACCAGTTTCTAAAAACGTATTTCTCGAAAAAACAGTAACTTATGAAAATAAATTCAAACAATTCCGTCAAAACGTAAACTCGCCAGTTAATATTAAAAAATTGAACTCTTTTTAAACAATAATTTTCATTACAAATTTCCGGTGTACCTTTAAAGTTATTATACCAAATTGTGGTTAAATATACCATTGTGTCTCAAAAATCATGTATTTTAAATGTATTTTGCATTGAATATATTAACAAATATCCAATATCCGATAACCAAAATGTAATTTTCAAATTTATACTACCCAACTTATAGGAAAATATCATTAAAGTTAACCTTGTTAAAAACATCAAGCTATACAATATTTTGTTACTATTTTTTAAATATATATATAGCTTATGCTGCCCTACCACACATTTAATCTTCTATTATTGTTCATTGAAATGTACGATTAAATTTATAGTTCGTTTCACAAAACTGCGAAATACATTTATTATAATATTATAATTCCTATGGAAATATATAGGTATAAAAAATATTATGGACGGACGTGGACGTGATTTAATAGTGCTGAAACGGCACGTGATTATTATTATTATTACTATTATTTTACATATATTTTTTTAACGTTTTGTGAGAAATTGTCATTTTAAATTCGCTGACATTATTGTTATATCAATGCTGCGTTGTGCGAAATAAAATTATAATAACGATAAACGGTTATGAACGGTTGACTTTTCCCCCCTCGTAAGACGTGGGTAAGAAGCGATTTTCTCAGAAACGATTTGCCTATTTAATTGGCTCGTAAGCACTTCAGTGTATGTCGGTAAAAAATGAATTGATTGCCGCCGGCTGTAAGCTAAAAACAAGTGCAGATAATTGACGTGTTCGGTATAAAAAACAACGACAATTTGGATAGCGATCATCATTTAACATGACCGGAGGAGGGTTTCCATATAATAAATATCCACCGAATTACCGAGGTATTATTATAACTCTCTATTAAGCCACCGGCGGTGATTTGGATGTTTTAGTTGCCGACCGTTGGGCTATATTCGGACAACGTGTAAAATATTACGAAGGGATCTAAGGTTAATGAGTATCCCTTTTTAACCCTAAAAACTGTTGTTCAATTTTCCGGAAACGTACACTCTGATAATAGCGGAGGGTGGGATTCATATAAGATTGATAAAACGCCTCGACTTTCAAATAAATCAGTTTATTCGTTAAAAAAAAAAATACTTCATTTTCGGATGCATAAAAAAATAATCTCTAGTTAAACAACGGAAGTAAAATGTTTAGCGCGTAATTGCGTTATTATGGAAGGCTAAGATTGGGCTGTTGAGTAAATTTGAGTTGACGCTATAGAGTATAATATTTGTGGTTGAGGGTTTTTTTAAATATTTAATTATTTTTAAATATACAACCACAAGTGTTGCTTTAGTTTTTTCGATTAATTCGATTAATAACAAGAAAGTGTAATTTTCTTTTTAGATTCGATGCGAAGTCTTAACATTGTAGAAATATATAAAATTAATACTTTGTTAAGCATGGGTAGACATGTTTTTTTTTTTTTTAGTTCTTAAAAGTAGACATGATTGCTTTTTAAAATTTGTAATGATCTTAAAATGTACCAAATTATGGTTCTTCAAAAATTAAAACTGCTTAGCTGCCATTTTTATAGATGTCCCTTAACTTCTATGTTTGCTTACTGAACCCGCTAAAAACTTACGTGTGTTTTTCTTAATTTTTAAAAATAATAAATCGTTTTAATCATATTATACTTGTTTCTCTACATGCGGTACACTCACAGTTAAATGTATATTTTGTATCACATAAAATATGCTTATAATAGTAACAAGCTAACGTTGGATCTTTGACCCAGTACGTCAGTGAACAACTGTCGTAAGTTACTTTGTGTTTACTTTTTGTTACTTCTGTTTTCCCTTCAGTTATTTCATAATGACCAATCTAATTTACTATAAAAAGCTAACTGTATTACTATGTTAGCATTGTGTATAAAGTCCATTGTCAGAACAATTTTTGAACTACATAGAATCATTCGGTGAAAGCTTATCTTAAAATAGTATTAATTATGTATACATTATTGTATTGTTATATAATGTGGATATTTTACTTACAATTTAAATTAAATCAACATTTGGTCGTTGAAACTTTTTTTTTATTTCTGTCATCATGGACAACTGATACAGAGATATTGTTTATTGATGAGACTATCATGTCCCTTTGAATATTATTTTTTTATTTCATCTATGCGGCTTGTATTTTTATGTTGTTTGTTTTTTTTGGTCCTATTACATATTTTATAATAATTGATTATAAGATATAATATTCTATCTTATTATTTGTAAGGATTGGAGATGGAAGTATTCTTTCAATAATCAATATTTAATAGTATAAAAAATTACACCATTGTTATCGAATTATTTTTTTAATTTCCTTTTTGTACTTAAAACTGTTTTAATATCCGTTTTTATAATTTAGGTAATGACTTTAGTGTAGTATATTCTATGTATATATATATGAGAATTACCTGTAGGTTGTCTTTTATTTGTAAATTAAGTAGGCGGATTAACGTCCGTAACGTAAACACTTGATGTTATAAGTTTTTTATTAAGAAATATATTTTTTTTTATATTGTTCCCCGTTTTACAAAATAACTCCTCGAGTTCATTACTTTTCTCTTATTTTATTAATTTCAGCGCTCAGATGTGACTCTCCAACAGCAATTAATTTGATCGAAATTGAAGTTTATTTATTTTGAGTCGCTGGTTTCGGATGAGTACAACGTAGTGGTGAGCTTTGTTCGAGGGTGCAGAGGCGTATTTACATTCTCTTGGTGTATATATTCGGCTGAGGAATAGTTGAGGCAAGTTGTTATGCTCTCTGTGATCCGTTGTCAAATAGTTTGAGTATATTGATATTTTATGTTTGGTCGTATAGTATACGTATTTCGTACAGTTCAAATAATCGGCTTTTTTTTCTAAGCAAGTAATATTGTATTTAACAAAATGGTCGATAATATTAAGCAATAAACATT